CCTGGCCGTGTCGCCCCGGGTGGGCGCCTGCCGCACGGCCCTGCGCCTCTTCGACGACTTCGCCATGCTCGGCTACAGCTGTGGCTACGGGCTGGGCCCCAAGGTGAGCGCGGGGCACGGGGCGCACCGGCAGCCTCCCCGGCCACGCCGCAGGCGTCAAGGCGTGTCCCCCCTGCTCCCCGCAGGACGAGGACGTCCTGGTGCGGGGGCTGTCGGTGCTCTGCAACCTGGCCAACCAGCTCTACTACCCCTGCGAGCACGTCGCGTGGGCGGCTGACGCCGGCATCGTCCGCGTCGGCTCTCAGAAGTGGTGGACTCTGAGCACGGCGCTCTGGGCCTCCTCCCTGCTCCTGGGCATCCTGCGGTAAGGCTGGCTGGGCTGCCGCAGTCTGCGGTGGGAAGGAGACGGACAGGGAATGAACCGTGTTCCCCGTAATCGGGCTAAAACGAAGGACCCTCTCGGCTGCAGAAGGGTGCTCTTCCTTCTCGCCGTTAACGCTAGAGGAAGAAAAAGCAACCCTCCCCTTTGATGCTGTAGGAGAAATGACTCTGTGGTCTTGTTTTCAGATCCCTGAGAATCTTGTTCCAGTTAAGAAGAAAGCTGAGGCAGCACAAGTGGTATGATTTCCCTCCCTGGCTATACAGCTAATTTAACCCAAATACATCTGTTCTCATTTGTGAGCTATCGCTGATTATTATTACATTACGTAATGTCGCTATCGCGAATGTTACTTTTGCTTCCAGCAGTACATCTCCGCCTCCGAGTCGAAGGGAAGTGAAAGCCCGAGTGAAGGCTGAAGTTTTGAGCATCCTCGCAGACCTGGCAGATCTCTCCAATGCAATCCACTGGCTGCCTCCGGGGTTTCTTTGGGCTGGACGCTTTCCTCTGTGGTTAGTAGGTCTCCTGGGGACCGTATCTTCCCTGATTGGTATCTACCAAGCATCTAGAGGAGGAAATTCTGAAGCTGTATAAACCACAATTAAGCTTCAGGGGCCCAATTTTTACATGGTAAAAATGCCTTTAGTGAGGCAGGGTGTATTTTAACTTTCCTGGGTGTTGATGATTGTAATTCCACGCATCCTGTAATTGGGGCTGTAGTCAAGATGTCTATTACAGAGAGGATTGTTTGCGGTTAACAGTTTTTATCGCTCTTCATCAGAGAAATCTTTCAGGTGAATCCTCTGAAAATCAAGAAATCTCCTGGGATTGGTAGAATAGAGGGGAAAAAAAGTCACTTCCATCCTTCCTTCCCATGTCCCAAAAGGCAACTGCAACCCTCCAGTCTTCGCTGTCACTTAAAAAGTCAGCGTTAGGCGGAGAAACGGCCACAGTTCTGTCACGCAAAACTTCTAAGGGACACATCCTGCGAGTTCGAGCTCCAGGCTCAGCGCTTGGTGCCTCGTCTGAACCAGGGAGGTGACGGGTAGCGTGGAAGTTTCTCCGTCAGATGTTCTGGTGTTTGAGCCCGGGGCAGATGCCGCAAGCGCAAAGAGGAGCAAGGGGCTGAGGGAGGTTGTCGGGTTATTTTGTTTGTGACGGATGTGTTTCTTTAGAAAGAAATAGCAACTGTAAGCGGTGCCTGGCCGAGCTTTCTTCTGGTCTGTATTGCGCATTTAAGGAGAAATATGGGAAATGGGAGACTTCCCGGTTAAACCAGAAGCAAGCGCTGAGCCTCCAGCTGTGCCTTTGCGAAGTGCCGCCGGGTGGAGCTCTTCCACCAGGCTCTGGCAGCAGCCAACGGACTTTTTTTTTCTTTAAAAAAAAAAAAAAAAAGGCAGCGGATTTGTTACTCGCCTTTCAAAGGAGCAATCAAAGCAATGCCAAGATGAGTTTTACAGTTATATTTCTGGGCGGTGCCACTAATAAACGAGACAAATGCTTCAAAGGTGGCCTTGAGCGATGATTCCTTCTGATAACTGGGCAAATGGTCTTTATCTGGTTCTAGAAAGCTCCAAACAGTGCCTAGGCGACAGAAAACGTTTGCGCTGCGTCGGCTGCGGCAGCCCGTCTGTTACCAGCCTTCCTTCTCCCGAAATAATTCAGAGCACCTGACTAACCGTCATCGAGACGCAGCGCTTGTAGACAGTTCTGCTTAGCCTGCGTGGTGCTTGTGCTCTCTGCAAGGCGGTACGGCACCGACCGCCTTTCCAGGAGGTTTGACCTCTGTTGTTGTTGTTGTTTTTGGCACGGACGTGGGGAACTACCTCCTGCCTGCGTTCAAAGAGCAGAGCGAGGCCTTGATGCTCTGTATCCCTTCGCCCCGTCCTTGCTGTTTATCCGGACCTTCACCCCGCGAAGGGCCGGGTCTGTCACAGAGGGCGCCTTCCTGCCTGCGCTCGGGACTTGGTGTCGGATTTACAGGTTTCGGCACAATTCGGAATGCGGGCAAGCATCATCCGGAAGAGACTCTTGGTTTTTTTTCTCTAGTCGCGCTGCTGGTTTTGTGCCCGAACAGGCGGAGCAGCCGGGTCCTGCTGCTTAGGGACAGCTGTAGAATCATAGAATCATAAAATCATTGAGGTTGGAAAAGACCTCTAAGATCATCGAGTCCAACCGTCAACCCAACACCACCATGCCCACTAAACCATGTCCCTAAGTGCCTCATCTACTCGTCTTTTAAATACCTCCAGGGATGGGGACTCCACCACTTCCCTGGGCAGCCTGTTCCAATGTTTCACCACTCTTTCAGTAAAGACATTTTTCCTCACGTCCAATCTAAACCTCCCCTGGCACAACTTGAGGCCATTTCCTCTCGTCCTATCGCTTGTTACTTGGGAGAAGAGACCGACCCCCACCTCGCTACAACCTCCTTTCAGGTGGTTGTAGAGAGCGATGAGGTCTCCCCTCAGCCTCCTTTTCTCCAGGCTAAACAGCCCCAGTTCCCTCAGCCGCTCCTCATCAGACTTGTAGCTACCACCCAGTCCTGTCACCAGCTGCGGTGGCTCCTGCTGCGGTTTGGTTTTTTAATAAGAAATCAGATTCTGCCTCTTTGTATTCTTAACCTCGTTAAACCCTTCCTTCAGCACGCGCTCTCCTGCTTAGCATGGGACAAGGTGTAGCTATAGCGATTGAAAAGAAAAAACCCAACCCCAAATACACACCCCTCTGATGCCAAATCAGTAAAACTCTAAACCACGCTTTTAATTTGACTGTAGAGAAAGGGCGCTGTAAACTGGTCTAAGTGCGTTTGCTTTATCTGCTCCCCCATTGAGCAATTTTAAATTGCAGCCGGTGAAGCGCAGGACAAACTGAAACGTCCAACGAGAAAGCAAAATCTGGTAACTCGGAATTTCTGAAAGTCGTGTTTTCTGTAGAGTGGTTTCGGTCCCCAATGACACGTAGTATTTAAGCACCTGTAGTGGCTGCTGCTGACTGTCCAGGGCAGCACTGGCTCTTTTTTAGCGCAAGACCTTGCGCGGGCAGACCCGATTCCTCCCAAAACCTGCTTTGTTGTTGTTGTTGTTGTGGGTGGTGGTGGTTCCTTCTCTTTTCTGCTGCGGCCATCAGCCCAACTCGGCTCCTGCATTGCCCCACGCAGGAAAACATTTGCTGAGCAGGGATGGTTTGTTCCGGCCGTGACCTCCCTTTGTCAGCAAGCCGAGACCTCCGGGCCGTTAGCAGCCGAGCCGCTGATTCCAACTCGGGAGCCCCGGCTCCTGCTTTTAGGGCCCCGTTGCGGCGGGGGGGGGCCCCGGGCGAACGACGCCGCCGGC